CAGTCAAGGGTTCATCATGTCAAGTGACAGAAGCCCAGATTAGGCCTTTAAATGCAATACCTCCACCTTTCTCTCTTCCTGCTTTTGCAGATAAGCCATATAAAAGCATAAGTAAGGAAATAAACTTCCTAAAATTATGTCCCTCTAGGAAAAAAAAACAAAAAACTGAATGCTATATGAAGTTAACAGATAAGCAGTAAGCTGTACTCACCCTGTGTGGGAGACTGTCTCTGTTGTTTTCTGATGATGAATAATATAGGCTCTTGTGCATGTAACAAAATATATTCCACACCAATCATCTGACTAAAACACACATACAAAAATAATAAGAAATAGAAGCAACATGGGTCAGATATTTGTATATGCAACTTCATCAGAGGCTTCCAGCGCTCAAAAACTGGATGTTTAAGTAACAGAGATTTTGTTTTATGGCCCCATTTTAAAAATAGCAACCTAACACATTATACAATTGCAGCACACGTACCCTGCCTAGTGGCGTGTTATGGCCAAAATAAAGGTCATGTGTATTTGCGGTGTGTTGGCAGACAATTCAGAAAGAATGGGCTGCCTTAACACAACATGTTTGCAATAGCTAATGATTATTTTTAAAATCTGTTAGCCAATTATTGAGTTTGATTAATCGGTTAGAAAAAAAATGGCTCCAGTGATGGACTACTAGTTTGTATTGAGATTGCAGTCCATCACAGGAGCAAGCTTGGGAGCGGTGTAAGTAAAAAAGAAAAAAAAAAAAAAAGTGTGGTGTGCAATATAGTGAAATGGAAAGTATAAAATTATACAGCAATCAATGAAGAATGGCACCGGCTATAGAGGACTATATATACAATAATACATTATACAGCACAATACCACCAGCTATAGAGGAATACAACAAATCCCAGCAATAGTACATTATAGCTGGTGGTATTTTGCATTATGCTGTATTATGTATTATCGCTGTGATTTGTAGTCCTCTATAAAGCGCAATGCAGAATACCAGCAGCTATAGGAGTACAACAAATCCCAGCAATAATATATTACACAGCGTAATGCAGAATACCACCAGCTATATAGGAATACAACAAATCCCAGAAATGCATTATGCATACAGTGTATAATGTATTGCTGGGATTTGTCGTCCTCTATAGCTGATGGTACATAGCTCTGTATAATATACAGCACAATGTACCATCAGCTATAGAGGAATACAAATCCCACTATCCAAACAATACATTATAGAGCACCATGTGTGGGAAAGTGCAGGCTTACCTGAGCAGTCTTCCAGCAACTTGCTTCTGAGATCGGCCTGCCTGTCTGTCATCCCCCCACGCCTGCTCCTCCTTACCTCTTCTTCTTCCCCCCGCGTCCCTGTGCCGATCGTGGATGTGGGTGGGCGGGTCTAGCAGCGGAGGTGTGTGGCGTTGATGCGGGCGAGTGTGGCGGGGAGGAGGTGCGGCGTGTGGAGACGTGAACAAGGCCAACTAATCGAAACAGCCGATTAATCGATGATTGAAAGCGTTGACAACTTTTTCAATCATCGATTTTAATCGACTTAGTCGATTAGTTGTTGCAGCCCTAGTTTGCAACTGCTGATATAACATCTGCAGATTATGTAAGCAGAGAGGGAAGGGGGTGGGAGGCAAAGTATGCACTCTTGCTGCTCTAAAAGGTTGGGGTTTTTTAAAAACTTTTTATTTTGGATACAGCAGGTAAGGGTTAAAGCCTCTGTCAGGTTTTTCTTGCACTCAGTGTCCCTACTCAAGTGATCTCCCTTCACTCCCTATCAGAACAGGAAGGGATGGAAAATCTCTTTTACAGGACACAAACAAAACACTTTATTAGAGTTAAGCTGCTCGCATTTTTGCCTTTACCTGCTGAACCCACCTAAATTCAAGCTGTGGGTGGTTTTGGTGGCATCACCTGGCTCAACAAAAGTCAATTTTTCAATCGACTTTCGTAGGAGAGGCTGGGGAAACCTGTCGGCTGAACAGTGACTGCATCACTGCAGGAACTGTCCTGGTATTTAGACTGTTGCACGCGCTGCTGAATACAACACCTGGCAGAGGAGATTCCTCCATCCACGCTGTTTAATATGGATAGGGGAATCGATTAATTTCTCTAATTTAGCCCATAGGTTAAATACAAGTTTACAATTTGATCCTCACATGCAGCAGAACAAAATAAGGGAACTAGTGTTTTAATGGCTGCCTTCGTATGCTTCAAAATAATCGTTTGGATTACAAGGGTCGCCATGTTACATTTTACAAGGCATTATGTACACATCTGCCACTAATACAGACACAGCGTAACTTACTTCAGATGGTCTAGTGTTAACCTCTGCATTTTAACCACTTCATTATTACAAGTCCTGTCATAGAAAGGGTTGCTTCTTTCTGAGAAATAATCCAAGACCGTCCCATTGTTCAGTATGGGGATCCAGGAGCTGTCCACCCAGGAAATGCCCAGCAAATTATCTACAAATAGAAATCACACGTTGGCACTTCTGATGACAATGTACAATAGGAAAAACATTACAGTGCCAATCATAAGCAGCATATTCCCATCGGAATAGAGCAGAGTGTGCTGTGATTGACTGCCATGATAGAGTCACACGTTGCCTTCTTCTACCAGGAATACTACTAATACCGTAATTGTACAATCATATATCTTTATTATAATGAGAAAGAAAAGCATAACCCACCTCTTATATCCACAGCGGCCATGCTGAAACGCACAGACAAGAAACTTCCGGTGTTCTGGCAGAATTAGAAAAGCAAATATAGTCCTATTTTTCCGGTGCGAAAAGTGGCCATTTCGTTGAAGATCATTTTCTTTTCATATAATAGATATCAATCTCCGACGTCATGGGCTGGCTGAGTAAAGGAAAGCAGCAGACAGCAACCAGAGTAGAGTTTCACCTCTAGTTTTTGAGTGCACGCAGCGCCGTGAGGAAATAATTAGTAGATGTAGAGCGCCCTCTAAAGCGCGGAGGCTGAATCAATAGACTAGTAAAAAATGGATATAGAAAGCCTATCTTTCCAGGTCATTGCCATTCACAGTGATGGTCTACATTGGGTCCACATTTATTTTATAACAGGAGTAATCTAGACTTCATAAAAAAAACCAAGAGGTTCTAACACATCTATCCAAAATAAAACAAAATGCATGGAGATGGGCTTTAAACCTTAAAGCTAAGCAAATATTGTCTAAATACAAGCGGCATGTGTACTGGAATCTTGGTGTGCTGTGTGTATTTCTTCCAGATCTGTGCAGTAATTTAGTGTGAAACTTTCCTGTGATAAACGCCAGTCACTGCTGTCTCTCCTTGTGCAGGGTGACTGGTCTTGCTTCCAGCCCCCCCTATAGTTTTCTGCAGGCAGTCTAGTTGGTGGAGGCTGCTGGGCCCCTCCTACAGCCCTGCTTTCTGCTCAGGCTCTGGGTTTGCAAAGGTGTTTGGTGCACACAAAGCAAACTTATAACCTTTGTGGCTATTAAAGAATATTTCTAAATTAAAGTTTATTTTGCCCAGAGTTTATCTTTAAGGCCCCATTCACACTAAGCAGATTGCTGCGCGAATTCCACTGCGATATTGCGCATTTCTGCTGCGCGATATCGCGAGAAGTCGCCGGCCAAATGATTTTCAATGTAGCTGTCTTAATGTACAGCTCCATGTCGCTCGTCAGGGTCGCAAGTCTCGCCCGCAGGACCCTTTTTTCGGAGGATGTCGCGTGATTTTTCTATTTTTTAACCCCTTCATGACTGAGGCCCTTTTTTCAATTTTTGCACCCATGTTATATTCCACATTTTAGGCCTGAAAATGACGTATCGGCACCAATTGGCCAGAACGCACTGGGTCTGGTGTGAACTAACCCTTACATGATAAGTCCTAGTTGTGTAATGCATCATCCATCCACAGGAAGGAGGAACCACAGGTCTCGTCTACAATCGGGGGACTTGTAATTTTAGAGGAATACAAATGCAAAAGGAATACAAAAGGAATACAAATAGAGCGGATTCCGCATGTTTGCGGCAATATAATAGCCACAAATGAGCGGAATCTGTGCGGATTAGACATTATAGCCTTTTTATCCCGCGCGGTCTTCTGCACAGAAAACCGCACGGGAAACGCAAACGCTGCATGTGAATGGAGCCTAAATACTGTACCCGGGGAAAAAGACATGAGCTGCAAAGGTTTTTTAAACTGCTGACATTACTGCTGTAGCCAGGGGCCAGTGACACTTTTTGAGGCAGTGTGAAGAAAGGGAGGTGAAAAAACAAAACAAATCACAACTCCCCCCGCCCCTCTCCCTCCATCCCTTCCCCCGGCCAGAACGAGGAGGAATTTCTTTGACACTTTACAAACGATCTTCCCAAAGTACACGGAGCAGACAGGAAGACTTACTGTGAGCTGCTCCACACCACACGGCACGACACAGGTCACAGGCCAGCTACAGCCCAGAACTCCCTCACCGGAGCACAGAACAGGGGGCGGGGCCAGGACGGACAGTACACCAGACGGACCAGAAGTCTTCCACTAAACGCTGCTTCTCTGCAGGGACGCATCTCTCCCCATCTTGCTTGCACTAGCGGCAGCCGTGCGGGCTGGACACGGGTGCCGTGAATTAAATTAGCTCTGCTGTGGATAGGGCGAGTTAGGCAGCCGCGAGCCCCTCATGAGTGCGAGGCCTTAAGCGGCCACCTAACTCGCCTAATTAAAGAGCCGCCTCTGCGGTGAAGGTCGCGCTACCGTTGCTGGATCATCGCTGGAACGTCACCCCAAAAGTCACGCTATCCCGGCCACGCGGATCCGCTCCAAAAGGTATGTTGCTCAGTGTGAATGGGGCCTAATGCAGTGTTGTGCACCCAAACCTCACATGTAGCCCCTAAAAGTGTGTAACTACCGTATTTTTCGCTCCATAAGACGCACTTTCCCCCCCCCCCCC